CCCGACGTGGTGGCAAGGTTCTTGCGGGAACATGATTTAATGTAATCGAGAATGACATTGGCAAACTTGTGGCACTGGCAAATTAAGGGAGGGGGGACGACCGGCCCTTGGTCCTTTTATACCAAACACACTTCCCCTTGTGCTTATTGTGTTCTTATGTCCCCTTTCAAATTTTAGTCCAGAAACGCACCTAAAATGTGATAAACCTTTTTTGGTTTGCTTGCTGGCTTGATTGTCAGAATCCTGGCCTGGGTGATAGCAGCCCCCTCCATTAAATAATCCCAGATCCGCCCCTTGTTTGTGAACTTCACTTTTAGGAGCCATTTCACTTTCTGTTATTCTTCTCCAAACGAGATAGGAGGCAAAATGGAATGAGTTTTATCGATATCAAATCGTGGATACGTCATCGTAATGGCACTGAAATCACAGTCAGTTGGAACACGTTCAACGACAAGAGCAGTAGTCGAATGTTTAATTTGCCGACAATTTGTTCTTATTCTCACTTCTACCACCGTGACGACCATCCCGCCAGTCCCCTTGTATTCACGTATCATGTATTTCCATTGCAGTAAGTTGACACGAGTTATGCTTTTGTAGATCTGTAGGAAGATCACGATAATATATACAAAACATACATCCACATATACACCCATATATACATTTGATATTTCTACATTAGCCCAGCTTGTACAATCAACGATTCTAGTTTTCATTTGTCACACGTTCATACTCCCATATAGCCTACGTTGTAGTTTGTTTCCATGTAGCATAATTCATATTAAGATGTAAGTGGCACATCTTGAGTGATAATTATCTGCGTCTTACGTAATCCTTGTATACACCATTAGCACCTCTTCTTCTTCTCGTTGATTTATATATTCAACTAGAAATGCCTCCATTTTCCCTGATTTATTTGAACTGATAACAATAATTACACGACGGAAGTATTATGGAACCTAGCAACCCCTGCAAATATTTGCAATTTTAGGCGGTGTTACGCAATAGCGAGAGAATGTTGACTTGACTTGATCTGTAGTATGACACAACGCGAAGTAACTTTCGCTTGATGGTCAGTGCTTATATATCAATCAAACTGGAATAGTAGTATGAAAGGGGGAGGGGCAGGCGCGGATCTACGGGGGGGGTTTAGGGGGTTTAAACCCCCCCTTGGGTGGCCCCCCCCCCCAAAAAAAAAGGGAAAAAAAAGAAAGAAAAAAAAAAAGAAAAAAGGAAAGAAAAAAGAACGCACACTGGAGAGAAACCCTTTCAAGTGCAAATATTGTGAGAAGATATTCAACTCATCTGGTAACTTAGCCAAACACATGATAACTCTGTATATAACTGTGTATTTAACTGTTACTTGATTTAAAAAGACGTTATCATGCACTGCTTTTTATGGTCTCCATTGTGTTAATAGATGCCAGGAAAACATCACTTACGGGGTTCAAATAAACACCCCCCAAAAATCGGATCGCCTCTTCGCGGCTCGTGGACGATGCTCCGCATCGTCATTATTGGTCAACCCCCCCCCCCCCTTAGCAAACAGCTAGATCCGCCCCTGAGGGGTTACTTGGAACGTATGCCCCAAATCTAATGACGAAAAAATAAAAGGAGAGAGGAGGAATCTTTACGAAAAAGATAGCATAAAAGAGGAAGGAGGGAGTAAGAGAGAGAGAGAGAGATAGATAGAGAATTATAGTTAAGGAAAGTAATTGGGGATGGGGGGGGGGGGGTAGCGACGTGAAAAAAGAAGATAAGGGGACACTTTCCCAAACACCCCTGATTAGTGATTATAATCATGATAATAATTCGGATTTTATACACCTGTTATTGGTGTGGCCGCACCCTAAGTGATACCAATGCTGCCCCCCCCCCTCCTCATGACCGAACCTACGCCACGCCTCTGATCAATCGAATTCGGATGATGGAATTGTATGATTGATGATAAACGTCTGCCATGTCCATGCGTGTCTTCTACATGTCTCAATTTGTTACAAGGAAACTACAGTAATAATGATCAATCATTTTTTACTCTATATTCATTTTCATTTCATTTAGACGATATTTGGAGTAGGCAGAAACGACAATAGTAAGGAAGTTCCGTATTAAAATTGACATTAATCAAACAATATGCTAGTTTCGACTGTGGAATAAAATCATTTCCACTCGTCTTTGTAGACCTCCTTCTTAAAAAGTGAACAGTCGAGACGCCCCCTCCTCTTCTCTCTCCCCCCTTTGTCGTTTTTTTTCTTTCTCTATCCATCTCCCTACCCCCTTTCTCTTTTTGTTTTCTTTTTCGCTATTAGATTGATGGGGAGGGGTTCAGGAGGATACAAGTCATGTGCTATGCTACTGCAAACACCAGTTTTATCTATTATTGATACCCGTTTGGAGATCACCGCTTATCCCTCCATGTTGCGCGCTGCGCCACTAAATTCTATTAAATCGTCTAGAATAAAATCTTGGGTAAGATGTACTATTTTGGCATGAAGGACTCGTTGCCATAGTTCCTAGTGAAAGTAAATCCTATCATTCAGCTTGTAAAAGTGAATAAATCCTTAATTATTTGATTAATTGATTGTGCCTAGGGACATGGACCAACCTTTACGTATATAGTCTAGACTTTTTTTAAATGTGTACATCTTTCTTAATCTTCTTCCATATTCTGTACACATCCTTCAAGTTTGTGATTTTATCTGGCGTTGTTATCCATCTGTCTGTCTGTGGCCTATACCTCTGTCCATGCTCTGTCTCACTATCTCTATCTCCCTGTCTCTTTCTGTATCTAAAAAATAATGCCCTCATCGTCTTCAAGTCTGTTTGTGCCTGTCTCTCTCCGAACGTCTGGATGACACTTCTTATTTGTCTTTATCGCTCGCTCTGTCTGTCTCTGTTTCTCTGTCTCTCTGTCTCTCCCCTCACTCTTTCGCTTCTCAATCATACACACTACTAGGTCTCCCTCTGTGCTGTTCTCATATTCATTTTCTCTTTATATATTGCTCTCTCCCCCCCCCCTCTCTCTCTCTCTCTCTCTCTCTCTCTCTCTCTCTCTCTCTCTCTCTCTCCACATAGCCACCTAGCTCTTTCCATCTGTCTACATCTCTCTGTACTCATCAGTATTCTCCAAAGTTATAGACCTTATACGTGTCATTGTTTCTCACGTAGACTTCACACAATGAAGTTCTCATAAATCTTAATTACATCCAGACCACGCAGAGATAGCGCACCATTATCCAATGTGATACCATTGCATCCCGGAGTGTCTTCTCTTAATCATGTTAAGAGGAGTGGAGATTAATCCCCCCCCCCCCCCATCTCAGCCCTCACCCAACTCTTCTCTTCTCTTTTGTTTCGACCCTCCCTTTTCGTGGCCTTCCTCTGTCTCGGCCCTCCTCCAACTATTCCTCCCTCTTTTTCGACCCTTCTCCATTTAGGCCCTCCTCCATCTCGATCCCCCTCTCCATCTCGGCTCTCCTCCATCACGACCCCCTCTACCTCACTCCTCTCATATATATCTGCCCTCTTTCACCCGACCTACTCCGGCACAGCCCTCCTCCATAGCGACCTTTCAAGACTCTCCATCAATTCCAGTGACACAAGAACCGTTAACATTCCTGTAACATTTTATCCAATGACATTGTACTACTGAATAAAACGTATTTCAAATTGTGATGTACTGAATAAACTGTTTAAAAAAAGGGAATTCTAAAGTATCTGGATCTGGTACTCGGGATATTTTATGTTTTCCAATGAGATATCAGGCCGCATTTACTATCGCTGAAACAGATACTACGATACAAAATACCCCCCCCCCCCCCTGTTTGACGATTTCTTACCCGTGGTATACTTGAATGCACCTGATCATGGCTCAGGCTGTACGTGCATACTGTCAGTCTGTGAAAGTGTAAATCGAATCAAGATTGAAAAACAATTTTAAATGTGGCCTGAAAACCCCAGTACTGTAACCTGTATAATGCGTGTACAGGGATGGATGGCTAGTTGCAGTACTTGCGTCTGCGAAAGATAACCACATTTTCTTTTATTGAGACATTTTGATGTGAATAATTATGATTGCATATGAATGCATGGAAAGTGTAACGTATTTATATTCAACTCTGGAATAAAGATTTATTTTCACCTTGTCATAGGAGGGAGTGTTATTGCCTTCCGGGTATTCGACTTGAATGAACTTGAACAAGCACTAGAATCAGCTGGAGAAACTATTAAAACGGCCTTCGCTCACGCTCGGAGTAAACGTGGCAATTCAATAGAAACTACATTTGAGACAGCACTTGAAACCACTTGAAAATAGCATGTCAAAAATGACATATAGTTATTCTTTTTTAAATTACTATTCCATTCTAGTCTGTCTAGATGATGCTCTTGATCTATGGTGATGTTGATGGGGGGGGGGGGGTGGGTCGCACCTCTCGAGAATTTCAAAGTTACTAATGTCGGGACAAATGGCACCTCTTATTCGAAGTTTTCTATTTCAGTAGCGGTTCTTTTTTAAAGGGGGTGGGGCGGCTCAATTTCTCAAGCTCCCCCCCCCCAAACGTGTCCATTACAATTTTTGTTTTGTTTAAATGCACATCTAGAAAATTAATTCAAGAACTTCAAGACCATCTAAGTTCCTCAAAGCTATCCCCCAAACAGAGAAAGAAGAAGAAATTAAATAAGAAATCCTCGTGAACTGTACGCTTGCTATATTTGTAATTTTCCAAAACATATTGTTCAGAATTTGTGGTCATAATAAAGTGTTCCGACATTTGCTTCCTGGCTTTGCTTTATGCATGCTTTTATAGATTGTTTTTTTCAAACAGAAGTCACCACCCCTGGACTAAATTGTTTCCAATACGCCGATGCCTACAAGGATATGTTTTCATATTGAGTTATTCTCATTGCCTCGATCTCGTGTTATACACACCTTTCATATTAATGAATCTTCTGATCTCAAGCCAACATGCTTTAATTGGGATCTGGTTTTGATTTTCTTTAATAGGATTATTGACGTGGGGAGGACCACTGACGTCGAGATTCACTGAGCTGTCAGACGGACCCTACCTTCACACACGGTAAGCTAAAGTATTGAATTGTCAATGATTACTATAGCCTGCCCTGGCCTGGGTTCACCCTTTAGGGGGGGGGGGGGGTGGGTAGTTTGATCATTCATGGGGGAAGGGGGCACTGTTCCCAACTACTTGGATTAATAACGAATCGCACGAAAAAAAGGGAAAAAAAACATTACATACATGTCAAGCAGCTATCGGTATGCCCATGTCTCCAGAAATGTATTAGTATTCAGAGCGCAACTTGTTTCACCTGAATGTCTATAACATAAAATACGTGCAAACAAAGGTACTGCTGTTTAGATTAAGTTTACGTTATGTATCAAGTTCGTGTTGCCAAATGAGGAAGTTGAAGGCAATGGAAAACAAGGATAAGATATTAAGATATTTTATATCCGTGAGAATGGCAGTTAGGATAAGTACACTGCCGATGGGTTCAATTTCATTGGAAATATATCATTTCCTCGTCAGTTTAATCGAGTTGATTTCTTGCTGACTATTCATGTAATTGGTATCATGAACATTGAACAATGGCCAAGGTGGATCGAGAGTTTGTGGGGCACTCACTGGACGAAATGTGAATTAAGAAGGCTTTTTGATAAGGGTGAATTTTGAGGGCGAATATTGGAGGGTCGTTTCACTTTCCTTCATGTTTCCTTCGTACTTGTTTTAAGAGGAGGGTGTGAGAGGAGGTCGTTAATCTCATCTCATCATGTTCCCAACCACCTTCACTTCTTTGTGTGTGCGTGTGTGTGTCTCTCCCCCTCTCTCCCTCTCTCCCCACTCTCTCACTCTCTCACTCTCTCTCTCTCTCTCTCTCTCTCTCTCTCTCTCTTTCTCATCTAGGCCCCACTTCTCACTCCCTTCCATTTTTGTCTTCTGTTTCTCTTGATTCCCTTTATCTCTCTCTCTTTTTTTTTTAGGGGGGGGGGGGTGTCTTTACTTTGTCATTTGATCGGGGGACACATGCCTCGGTCCCCCCCATACATACGCCGATGATCATGCGCTTCTAATCGACCGCTCCGTGGTATATTGTCGAGGATTAGTGATTTAATTGGTTGACCTAGTTTACTAAACAGTAGATCTGTTTGTAACGTTAGAAATTTACAGACAAACAATCAATATTTGTATCCATCTTCTATGTAAAAGCAATTTTAATTATAAGAGTAGTTTTTTATGATTATTTGTTGTTCTTTATCTTTTTCTATCTCCCAATTTATTCAGTTATTTATAAAAATAAACACCTGTATTCTGATCTCGTCGTTACGTTGGTATTCTACAAAATTAGAAAAGTAAGAATTAGCCTATAATATTATAATCAACTTCATGTTCCTTGCAATTCGTTCACAAAGCAGTAATATCATGCGACATTGATATTTGACGAGTTATTGTACATTTCAAAACAATGCTTATTCATTTGACAGCGGATCGGGGGGGGGGGGGGTTATTTATACAATATTAGTTTTATCGGACTTACGCCTATCTCCTTCGGCCAGATAATCATTGATCCATCGATGTGTCGTAAGACTAGTTATGTAGCATGATAAGGCCAAATAAAAAAAAAAAACATGTTTAGCGTCCTGCCTTTTTGAAAAATAGGAAGGAGGAGGCCCTTTTTTTTCTTTTTCAAAATGGCCGCTCGGTTAATTTTCCCTGACAATCGGGCTATTTTTCAAGATGGCCGCCGGCTTTATTTTTTTTTCTGAAAGAAAATCAGAAATAGATCATTTTAGCAGTATGTTTTTCATGTTGTTTTTTTCTTTAAACAAAAATAAATAAATAATATTAACATTTTAAACAATTTTTTTAAATTTTTTGTTTTAAGGAAGCGGCCCCCAAAAGGAAGCGGGCGGGGACGCTAAACATGTATATTTTTTTAAGTGGCTTAACAACCTAAATTTTAATCAAATTAGTGTTTATTTTAATAATAATTTCAAAAGTATATTGCTGTATGATATCCTTCTCACTATCATATCAATGTTTTAGACCCGTTTGTACAACTTTTACATTTTGCAGGTATTTTACCGGCAAACGAAAACCGTGCAATCAATTTTCATTCCTTCACATGTCGTAGCTCAGATTAAATTGGCGCGTGTCGAAACGATAAGAAATGGGGTGACACCGAAATGAAAATACAGTATGCACTCTGACGTATACATTGGTTGATAAACCGAACGGTACTCGCAGACGACAGATGACGTGTTGAGAAATTTGTGTATTTTTTATGGCGGGATCCTGGTCCCGTGGGGCACAATTGACCGCGACATGACCCGGCTGAGGTCAAACAGGTATTGTTGACTGGACGTCTTGGGTCTTTTCTGAGCCAGATTGAATGTGGGGTTCCATGATAATGACACCGGCAGTGTTTATGAAGCAGGTAAATTTTAGCGGGGTTACTTTATACCCCTGTCAAAGAAGTTGCCCCATGTCCCCTTTCACCCCCCCCCCCCCCCGAATGCGCTGCTAGCTACCTGAAAATTGTATAGTTTTATTTCATCAAGGAGATGGGAGAGATTGGAAGCATTTTTATGGGTCGAGATAAACAAAACAAGGGTAAGGTTATACAATACTTTATATTTTGTTAGGCCTATACCATTATTGTTGTATAGTAGGTCTATTTTACCAGTTTATGAGTTTCTGTGACCACTCATTGTTGACATAACCTTGACAAAATCTTGACCGCTAATGATTTTGATGTAGGCCTGTGCCTTCTTGTAGCAGACTATTATATTAAAGTGCAATATATCATTACAGAATATGAAAGAAAAGAATCAGCGATTTAATCCGATGACCTCCCTTAAAATCAGGTCTGGGCACTATGTTAGCCCATGGTTAGCCTATATGTTTTGTCGTTAATCAAAAGACCGTATTGAGGTAACTTGTAAAAACGATATCCAGCCCCATACGGATTATGGAGGATGCTCATTTCGCCCTGCGCAAAACAAAATAAGAAGAAAAAAATTAAATAATAAAGACGAGCATTTCGCTAATTGATTGATTGTCGGAATTATTAGGGTTTCATTCATAGGATATTGATATCACTCTGCGAAAAGCGAAAACAACAACAAGGAAAAAATGAAAGTACATACAATAACTTCGCTATTTGATTGATTGTTGGTATGACGGCTGGTCAAATATCCTTCCATTTGACAACAATTAAAATGTGATGACAGAGCTCTAGAACAGGTTTACCATTCCAAACTGTCTAACAAGGTGAATTTGAACGTGTGTGTTCTATGGCGGAGTAGGTTTTGGGATAAGGGTAATGACGGGCAATAACCTCCTCATTACAATATTCTGACTTTTTCCTCTCATGGTATCTAATGGTTTAATGAAATATTAACATCTAGTTTTGCTGAATAAAGAATGTAAATTTCAACCACAAATTATGAGTCACAGATCATTTCTGTCTAAATAATGGTCCTTAGTAGGGACTTATTGTTATTTGCTGAAGGTTCATGCAAGGAAAACCAAGCATATGCAATGCACATGTGGGACCGAGCTGTAACTGTTTCCTCGTTACGCTCTGCCACTGATGAAACGAATAAAATGTGAGCGAAATGATCGCACTTGAGAGTTCCATTTTGGATTAATAATTCAGCGATATGAGGAGGTAAGCCCCTGCAGTGGGAATTCAACCATGAAGGGAGCGTTTTAATTATTAAACGAAAATGAGGAATAAAATGTGTGCATCGGTGCACATTATGCGCTTAGGATGAAATATCTAGCAGGACTGACTATGCGCTAGTATAGACTTTTTTTTGGGGGGGGGGGGGGCTAGGCAAGAAACTAGTGCAAGTATTTGCAATTGAGAACAATAACGATTCTTATTTAAACTGGGTTTTCGAGAAATAAAGCAAAACAAAAACATGGCTTCCCAGTTCCCACTTGCTTTTCCGCAGGTGATCAGGTTTCTTCTATTTTTGTTTTCCCCACCAAAGCCATCAAACTTGCTAATGTTATCTGCCATTTTACCACGCAATAAGGACTTTACAGTAATATTCCGTCTGATAAATCACCGGATATCATCGGAGAATGAAAAGTGACGGGCGCGAACGTGAACGCACAAATCCTGGTCTGTCGTGTGCATGACATTTAATCAATGGGCTGCATGTCCATAGGAGAAAGTACGAAAGCTGAATGCAAAGCATGGTGCTACGAGGAGCGTGTTCACACGAATATTTAAGTTTATTAAGTTTAAGATACAAAATTAGTAATGATCTTATGCATTGGCGTAGCTACTGCGAAATTATCGACGGGGGGGGGGGGGGGGGGCTAAACCCCCCATTTATCGGGCTGTCCACCGGAATGAAAGATGAATACAGACCTTCGGCCTGCTATAAGAGCGTCTCCACATGAATATTAATTTTTCATTGAAAACTTGATGCAGTTGCGTATTAAGGGCACGGGGGCAGGGGCACATGGTTTAGTTATAGTTTACACCCTTTCTCTTTCAGTTAAATTTAATTTTATGAAAAATTCCTTTTATCTGGTACAAGCAATGGTACGAAACATGGTATTCAATTTACATTTAGTCAAGTTTGATTTAGGTTTCGGACAAACAAACAAATTTAAGTCGATAAATTTATTTATTGTTTCTATAATTTGATACTAAATATAATAGAATAGGACTTTTATTAAGTATAGAAAAGTAAATCATCATTATCATGCGTCTATGGTACAGTCTGAACCCACCGCGTTCGACTCGGTCGATTCACCCATAACAAATCATACTTGACACGCGCGCCAATTTATTTTAGAGCCTGAATCTGGAATTCATTGCCAAAACAATAAGGGACAATAACTCTTCCCAGCATGCAATACACGCCTAATGCACCCTTGAAATTGAAGCTAGCCGCATCATGTTTGCGGTAGATGCATGTAATGTTCACTCCTTATTTGGACTTTATTACGTTTTGGTTGATGTTGTTTATTTCACAACATTCTTTTATTACGCATGTCAGCGTGGTTCGGATGTTGGCCTCTAACTTTTCCTTGCAAATTTA